GTGGGTCGGCTCCTTTCGTCTATCTCACTACCCTTCCAACTAGCTGCTGAATCGCATAATTCTCTAACAAGTCGCCTATCCGCAGCTCCGAGTACGTCAGGACTCGAAGTCCATTCAGGGTCTCCGTTTTTACCCCCATTTACCCCCAGTTCCTCATCTCCATTCTTTATAAGAAACCTACTTAACACTAAGGCCTCGCAGCACGTAGGCGGTTCGCCACAGCCGCGATCTTATTCTGCCTCCTCTCGCAACCTTCCCCACATACCGTCACCGGCGAATGTGGGCGCGCGATTGAGGCCGTGGACTATCTCCTCTAGTGACGGTTCTTCCAAGTTCCCACTACCTCCGGGATATCCTGCTCAGAATCCACTATCGTTTCGGGACCAGATGTTGAGGATTATGGTTTCTCAATCAACTCCAAGATTAGGACAGACTCACTCTCAATCTTGGTCTCAACCTCTCCATACGACCCGTCAAAGCGATCAATCTACCCCACTCAACTTTTCTTGCTCCTCCTCTGCAACCCACGGAAGAAGTTTACCGTCCACAACCTCTTCAAAATTGGCTAGCGCTTGGAGCGCATTCAACAAGCCTATCGTTTTTCAATCAGCCGAACTCGATCCAGCCGAGGAATTTCTATGGAATAACAACTTTTTCGGAAGTCGCTCTATATCACAACTTACTTACACCCTAATATTCATGTTCAGCAAAATTTTGGGTCTTCGTACAGGCTCGCAATTGCGGCAAATGCGGTTGGGGCCGCGGGGCCAGCTGAAACTACTACTAGGCCCAAACGGTTACCTCGGCAGTGCTGCATCCAGTTGGTCGACTGCGGGAGCCTCACCTACCAGAGGCATGCCCTACGAACTCCTTTACACACCCGGGAACGAGGCTTTTGCATCTGAGAGCCCAATTGAGACGGCTGGCAAGTCCAAACTGCCCTCGTTGAACGAGGTTTCCAAGCAGAACCCACTCATTGTGGCTCTTAGTCACGTGCTTCTACGTACACCCAAGGGGTTTCTAATCAATCATTGCACCGTGAATGAACACAAGCGTTGCCTAGTTTGCCTTCATGTGCTTCTTTTGCTGGAGAGGAAGAAGTAAGCTCTACCTACCTCTTGCTTTAAAAAACTGAAATTGCATGAAAAAAAAACAGTCTAGATGGCCCGTGGTGAATTATGTAGGCAGCAGTTTACCACTTTAAGGGTGGTGCGGACTGCCCATCTTTCAGTATGCCTGACGTAAATCGGCTTCGATAACTGTCTAGCTGATATAGGTCTATCAACTCTGGCAAGTCGGTGGTCGTTCGTCGATTTTTAAACCAAACTGAAGAATCCTAAATACATGTGTACGATAAACCACCAGGGTCAAATAACGAAGTCTTGTTTGTCGATTCCTCAGTAGAGGAGTCGCTTGCATCTTCTGCTATATGGCTGCAGCTTAGTGAGTTAAATCCCCCATGATAAGCCTGTAAGCCAACGACGAAGCTCATTTGAGACCCTCAACATTGACTTCAGAACACGAAGCCAAGCTAGGCCGGCTATAAACACCAACGATTACCCCAAAAGTTTCAGTCGAATTCTAATCCACGTGAAAGTAAATGAGCTGGGAAACCTCCGAACTTTTTTTTCCTTTTCCAGAAGCTCTTAACTCTTCCGTATTAGGAGGATTTTAAGTTTGTTAATGGTATGCTGTCAAACGAACTACGTGGATATAAGACCTGATTGCAATAATCTTCATACCAATTCGATAATTGGTTTAGAATCGAAGGCTAAATACAGGTCATTTACTTCCGGTGAAGCACCCAATGTACTCTTTAAACGCTACGCACGCATATTAAGGGTCTGTTTTGATTTTTTAAGTTGACGTCCGCACCTGCATCTTGAGGTTTTTTCGTGTGCGGACGGGGTTGTTAATGCTAGTGTCTGTGTGCTCGGCAGGTGGGCCTCAGAGAACCCTAGGAATGCTAAAGTGGAATGCTACTTCCTCTCCTGGCAGTCGACTGACAGCTCAAAAGCGCCCAGTTTTCGTGTTCGTCCTTTGGGTCATAACGCAATAACGGCAATTATTCGCAACATTGAGACAACTCTGCGCAATGTCACCGTTGGTCTGAGAGCCGGGATCGAGTTCCTTGATCCCACCGTTTGGCTTGCACACTCTCAGGAACAACTCTATACCACCGGCTCCCAGCTGACTGTAGCCAACAAACCTCGTAAAACCACTACAGGCGCAACGGCTGGTCCTGCTAAAAGCAGTCTGGCAACAGACAGTTTGCAACCGCTGGACTTGAGTAAACAATCATCACAGTCGAATTCATCAAGTGGTGAAACGAGTACCACAGCAACTGGGGCTGTTCCACCTTTGAATCCACAGAGCTTCAACACCGATCCCCGCAGTAGCGGAGGTAGGCAGTCGTTGAGTTCCGTCTGACTGTTTACTCCTGCGTTCTTCCCGTTTCTTTTTCTCTTCCTCGTTCTTTTTTTTCACGCGTGCCTACATAGGCAGTTTATAACAACTATCGAGTAATCTGCTTTCGTGCCTTTAGCGCATCCTACCTGTCTCGACTACTGGCCCGAGCTGACGGCACGTGCTCGTAAAGAGGACTGGCAATGCGCGGACTGCAAATCTTGCAGTATCTGCAAGGATGCGACTTCCGAGGTAAACGGGGCACTCATTTCTACATGAATGTCTGTGTTCACATGTGGTATCATTTTTTGCTGTTGTTGTTTTCCCTACCTCAGGCATCTGTCACCAATTGTATTGTACCCTTTTTTAGGCGATTGTACTCATCTGCGACGCCTGCGACCGCGGATATCACACAACGTGTCATAACCCGCCAGTTTTGGAAGAGGTTGATAGGAATATGCCCTGGATCTGCTCACAGTGCCAAGTGGAGGCCTA